AAGACAAATTATAAAATGAAAACTTATTATAAAATCATGTTTTGTAAGATTGTTTAACAGTCAATGTTTCTGATTTTATTCAGTTGGGCTACCATAGTATGACAGAGAAAATGTTGGAGTGAGAAAGATGAAAGAGAAAGGGTTGAGAGGAATGAGGGAGGTGAGTAAGGGTTTCAGATGTTTCTTTTTTTTTAGTTTTGAAAATGAAAATTATTAAAATATCCTTAACCTTAAAACTTAGAATCCATGATATGATATATAAGGATATTTTTGTCTACTAAAATCCGGTACACATTGTTAAAATGTACCATCTGAAAAACAGGCGTACACTTTCCCTTAAATAAGTTTGATTCAATCTTATTTTCACTGTTCAATATATTTTTTTTCTTCAAATTACTTAATAAATGGTAAATTTTTTTTTCTAAATTTCTAGAAAAATGTTTATATATGTGTGTGTTTTTTTTACATTTAATATTTATAATTTTTAACATTATATTATGTTTTAACTTACCGACGTGTTTGACTCAAATAACTTGAATAAAGTGTTTAATTTATTAAATAAATAATATAAAAATATTATTAAATACTTAAAATATAAAAGAAAAGTTATTTGTTAAAGATTTGGAATTTATTTAGTTCCGTCATTATAAAGTTAGTATATAATAATAATAATAATAATAATAATAATAATAATAATATATTATTTACTTTACTATTAATATTATTATGTTTATTATTTTGTATTTGCATCTAACTTTTAAGTTTATAAAATAAAAGTGATAGAAAAACTAAAATTGAAGTTTCCTCTGAATTTTATATTTTGCAATATATCACAAGTTTAAATCTAAGCCATATGAATGCTCCATTAATGCACAGAGAGAAAGAGAAAAATTGTTGAGGATAGTGAAGAGGTGTAGGGTATTTTTGGAATAAAAGAAAATAGTGGGAACGTGTAGAATATTTTTAGAATAAAAGAAAATAGTGAGGAGGTGCAAAAGCACTTGGGGTGGTGGAGGGAGCAACACCCCATAAAGAGGCATCTTTTTTGTATTTTAAATTAGTTATTAAACCAATTGGGCTTGGTATATGAGTCCAAAATACTATATATGTTTACAGGAAAAAGCAGGATCAACTCTTAAATTGGAGGCTCAAACACTTGTTAAGTGCGTTTAATTTGTTAAACAAGTATTTCAATTGAACACTAGCAAATTATAAAACAACTTCTCATTCTCCCCAAAATAGTTTGGAAATCTTTATAATGCTTATGATAAAAATTTAAATTGATTTGATTTAATATTTATATTTTAAAAGGGAACCTATAAGTGAAAAACAAAATAAGTAGTAAATTATCTCCATGTTCACGAATTTATCTTATATTAAAATCTTTTAAATTCTAGACTTCATTTTTTTTACCAACTTCTGACTGATAATTTTCACAGAAATAAAAAAAATGAAAGTTACCTAGCATAGTTTGAAGCTTTTTTTTCTAGCATTTATATTTATTTAATTAGATCCTAAGATATAGAACAAGTGGACTTCACATTCTTCCAATTAAATGGAAGTTCCTCTGAAAGTGTACATTTATTTATGCATATATAGTATATGATTTGACAGGGTTGGTGTTAGAACGTAATGAATCCACTACTGAATTGAATGGCACGTTATCATCCACTCAAAATTCAAAATTTCAAAGAATATTTTGATTCATCTTTGGTGGCCATGTTACACTCCAGATAATTAATTTGCCACAATATTTCTTGTTTATGTTTTGTTTGATCATAGTGGTTTACTTGAGTTTGTCAGTTTTCAAAGATTGACCACTTATTAGTGGATTCTCAAAGTGGTTCTGAAGGTTCATGCACACAACAACAATGGCTGCATCTCAACTTGTCAAACACTGTTTGCCTTCCAGACAGTGCTTTTTAATCTAAGTGTAATCATACAAAAAAACAACTAATGTTTATGAATTTCACAGAACTTTAAACATGATTAGCAGAATTTGTTTAATCAGAAGTGTCAAAATTTATTCTTTGTTAAATTCATTATATTATTCATTATTAAAGATTATTTATTAATGTTTATTTACAAATTCAAGATGTATATCTAAGATTCTACCATTATATAAGACAAAATTAGGTTTATATTTTTTATCCATAATTTATAATTCATGTATGTTTCTTTGTTCTAGTGTTTTTCTTTTATATAACTTGAAATATACCCTTTTGTTTTTCATTTATTTTAGATAAAAAAAATATATATTTACACAGTTTTGTTCACGGTCTTGTTTTCTTCTCTCTGGGTTCTTTTATGTATCTTTCTTCATCATTGAAGAAAGTGAAATTTTGTAGATGAATTAACTCGTTACTTACCATATCCACGATATAAAATAATAAGGAAAAGATAGAGAGAAGAGAGGAAGGGTTCTTTTTCTATTTGTTTTTTAATAAGTCAATGGTTTATTTATATACAAGTGCTGGAGTTATGATAATAAAGATAAAAATATAAAAAATATATTTTAACTACACAATCATGCTCACTATTTAAAATTCAGTAAATTATTGTTGAAATATTGGTAACTAAATAATATATTAATTTAAGTTTCCCAAGATATTTAGAAAAGATTCTAACTTAGAGATTATTATTGGTCAATGTATAATGAACAAGATGATCTATAGGAAAGGATGCAGGCTTCCAAGCTAACATACAACTAGAGTAAGTTAAGATAATATTTTCTTTCTTTAGTTAATTACCATGTAGAAAGACAAAACTTCAATCCTAAAAATAAAAAGAAAACAAGATTCTTGATCTCAAAAATATTATTAAAATAATCTTAACAACATTGTAATATATATATATATATATATATATATATAATATTTATAAACTAATTATTTTAAAACTTTAGAATTAGAATTTATATCAAAATATTTAAATGAATTGACTTATTGCCCGTCACTATATTCAAACCTTCCTCATTATCTATAAACTCTTTATGATAGGTTAAAAAAAGTCACTCTGATTAGGATCTGTGGATTACTACCTATATTGTTCACCAAATAAAATTTTAAATGTTAATTACTTATAATTTTATAGTTTTCTTTATTTATAATTAAGAAAGTGATATAGTGAAATGTAATTATGTTTAGTTAAAGTATGAAATGATAAGTTGATATATTATAAAAACAAGTATTAATCATCAATTATTTTTTATAACTTCTATAATTTTTATTATTATTAGCAATCGATAGATAGAAATTAAGTGATGTTTATGAAGATAAAAAAAAAATAGTTTATTTAATTATTAGAAAGTTTATTTGATTAATTGGTTTAGTTTTGGTCAAAATATAGATCATGGTTATATAATCATCATAATCATCACGAGGTTAATCTAATTGGAAGTTAGTTCCAACCAACTTAATAGTTTCACATGAGTAAATTGGTATAATATAAAAGAAGTACTAAGTATCAATTATTTTTTATAACTTCTTCAATTTTTTAATTATCAACTTAAGTGATATTTATGAAGATTAGAAAAAAAAAATTAGTTCATTTAATTATTAGAAATTTTATTTGACCAACTTGTTTACATTTTGGTCAAAATAGATCATGTATAGTTATCTAAGGTTAATCTAATTGAAAGTTAGATCTTATCACAATGAATAATTTCACATCAAGCTGATAATCAATTATTTTTTAATTATTAGTTCATGGGTTAACGGGTAAAAATTAAGTGATATTTATAAAAATAAAAAAAAAATAGTTGATTTCACCAACTGGTTTACATTTTGGTCATAATAGATCATGGTTATATACTTATTTTTAGGTTAGTTTTTTACGTTCAACAATTTCATATTATTTAATATTTAAGATTTAATATTGTTTAAATACTCCTTTCAAACCGCGTTTTAAAAATAAACAGTGATCGAGTTTTTTACTTAAAAATAAACAATACTTAAAAAACACAATGACTAATTCTAATAATATTCGACGAATTTAAGATCAATAACCATTAGTTAGCAATGAAAATAAATTTTGAAAGAGAGATTTTATATTTTAAATATATTAAGTCTGGAAACCACATAATTAAAATTACAATTTATTAAAAACTATTAAATTGTAATTGATTAGGTTTCATATGAAACCCACAGTTTTTTTTTGGGAAGCATTAGCAAAAATATATAAAATGTTAACATTAGGCTTTTGAACAAATTGGCAATTTTTTATGCAGAATTAGTGTGTTGCGCATGCTACATGATTCTATCTATCCCCAATCGTAAAGGAAGATGAACCTCTCACTTTCTTTCATTTTCCTCTCTTTCCGTTTCTTTAAGCCTTCATTTCTTCTTTTTCTCACCTCACTGTCAAAATGGAAAAACTGCTTTTCATATAAAAATATTTACATTGTGAAAGATTATACTACATTGGACTATAATAATATTTTCCATTAACAACAAACCTAACAAATATTCCCACTCCAAATCAAGAAATGCATTCTACCAAAAAACATTTTTATACCCCCAAAATTGGAATATTGCACATTGTTAATATAACACTTTTTTCCAACATAATTAACTTCTCACCTACCTTATAAATAATCTATATATATATAATTAAGAATAACTTTCTTTCAACCCTCTGATATATTTTTAAAGACGAAATTGTAATAAAATTTTAAATTTCAAAAGTGATTTATCTTCACAAAGTGGTGACTGAATAGAGTGTTATGAAATTTGTAGAATGTAATTAAAAAATTATGCAGAATTTTCTTTAGTTGTTGCATGATCATAAAATGCTGCAAGAATGCAGACAAAGTTATGGCTAGTTATTAAAAAATATTTGGAAAGTAGTGGGGCCAATGAAGACAGTTGCTTTGCTTATACCATTCTTTTTAGGAACTATGAAGCATAGGGAAGTCCTCTCAGATTATCTTAAATGCGAAAGTGGTCGATGTTCTTGCAATCAAAGATATATCAGAAAGCTCATGTTCCACAATGTCATAATTAAGAATAGAACATTAACTACAAGATAATGCCGATACTCTTCATCTGTATTGTGACGTTTTTCTTAGCTCAATTATACGTAAACTATAGTATTACACATTGTGACCTTAGTTCATTATAGTCGTATAAATATAACATGTGATAACCTCCTTAAGCACAAAATATACAAACACAAACCTCAGAAACACAAAACCATGTTGTCACCAAGCTCACACTTAGCAATTTTAGTCCTCCTATTATCAGTTTAGTTAGCAGCTTCAGCTTCATATGATGCAAACTTTGTCCAATGTCTCAGCTTCTATTCAGACAAAGCAGCTCCGTTTTATGCCTTAATTTACACCCCAAAAAATGTTTCATTTTCCAGCATCCTTGAATCCTCTGCACAGAACCTAAGGTATTTGGTGCCTTCAGCGACAAAACCAGAGTTTATATTCACACCCTTGACTGATTCACATGTCCAAGTGGCAGTGACTTGCTCAAAGAAACTTGGTATTCATATGAGAGTTCGTAGTGGTGGCAATGACTATGAAGGACTCTCGTATGTTTCTGGAGTCGAGTCCCCTTTCATGATTCTTGATCTGTCCAAGCTTCGCGCCATTGATGTTGATATAAAAGACAACAGTGCTTGGATCCAAGCTGGTGCCACTATTGGCGAAGTATATTACAGAATATATGAGAAAAGTTCAGTTCATGGTTTCCATGCAGGCCTTTGCACAAGCCTAGGTGTTGGAGGGCACATCACAGGAGGTGCATATGGATCCATGATGAGAAAGTATGGTCTTGGAGCCGATAATGTTCTTGATGCAAAACTGGTTGATGCAAATGGCCAAATCCTTGATAGGGAAGCCATGGGGGAGGACCTATTTTGGGCAATTAGAGGAGGTGGAGGAGCAAGCTTTGGCATCCTTCTCTGGTGGAAGATAAAACTGGTTACTGTGCCAGAAACTGTGACAGTTTTTACAGTTACAAGGAGCCTAGAGCAAGATGCAACAAAGATTCTTCATAGATGGCAGGAAGTGGCACCCTCTATTGACGAGGATCTCTTCATCAGAGTCATCATTCAACCAGCCACTGTTGCAAACAAAACTGAGAGAACCATCACAACATCTTACAATGCTCAATTCCTTGGAGGGGCTGACAGACTCCTCCAAGTGATGAAGGAAAACTTCCCTGAATTGGGTTTGACAAAAAAAGATTTACTTGAAACTAGTTGGATCAAGTCTGTGCTCTATATTGCTGGTTATCCAAATGACACTCCTCCTGAAGTTCTGCTTCAAGGAAAGTCAACATTCAAGAACTACTTCAAAGCCAAGTCAGATTTTGTGAGAGAACCGATACCAGAAACTGGACTTGAGGGACTCTGGCAAAGATTGCTAGAAGAAGACAGTCCCTTGATGATTTGGAACCCATATGGTGGAATGATGAGCAAATTTTCAGAGTCTGATATTCCCTTTCCTCACAGGAATGGAACACTTTACAAAATTCAGTACTTATCTCTTTGGCAAGATGGGGATAAGAATGCCACAAAGCATATAGACTGGATTAGGAAGCTTTACAACTACATGACTCCTTATGTGTCTAAGTTCCCAAGGGAGGCATACGTGAACTACAGAGATCTTGATTTGGGAATGAACAAGAACAGCACAAGTTACATACAGGCAACTTCTTGGGGCAATATGTATTTCAAGGATAATTTCAACAGGTTGGTGAAAATAAAGACCAAAGTGGATCCTGATAATGTGTTCAGGCATGAGCAGAGCATCCCACCACTTCCAGTTTCAGGTATGAAGCTACAAGACAAGAAAAACAAGACCTGGGAATAAGGCACTGTCTTGATGGAGTCATTAGACTGGTTTCTATAAATTTGTTGTCGGTTTGATTAGCAAATTTAGATGAATAAAGGATATAATTGGATTTTGTTGTGTTTTTTGGTCATTTTAGTGTTACAAAACACTGTTGAAGTGCTTAATCATTTCTATCTATGTGGTTGTGCGTGTGACAATGTTGCAAGTAACAAGTGTTGTATCACTGCTACCAAGAGTCCTGTAACTTGTAAGAATCCACTGCCTTGAATACGCACCCAAGTGACAAATGGAATGCATTTTTAAGCGCAAAAAGAACTCATCAAGCTAGTGCTGCTTTACTTCCAAAATACGCGAAGAATTTTTCAGAAAATATTTAGGGAAAATATAAAAGAAAAAAGAAATAATGTATTTTTAAGATAAAATTAACTATACATAAAGTCATTTTTAAAAACTGTCGTTTTTTAAATCATATTTTTACTTACATGCAAATTAGTTTGTTTTTTCTTAATTTTATATTTCAAAAAAATTATTTGAGCAAGCTACATGCAAATTAGTTTGTTTTTTCTTAACAAAATCGCCTACAATATTATTTTATAAATTAAGAGATAAAAAAAGTTCAAGTCATTTTTTTGCAAATTATAAATTTTGTATTTTAAATTATGCAATCTAGAGTTTTTTATTTTCTATTTTAAAATATACAATTCAAAATATAAAAGTGCATGATGCAAAATATAAATTTTTCATCGTAAATTATGTATTTTGAAATACAAAGTAAAAAATACATTTCAGATTGATAAAATGTATTTTTAGAAATAAGGTGAAGATTGAAGGTATAAAGGAGCGGTAGTGAAGGAAGAAGGTGATGAGTGAGGGAGAGAGAGGTGGCGGTAGAGGAAGAAAAGGGTGATGAATGGAGGAGAAAGTTGCACTGGTGGAGGAAGAAGGAAAGAGAGAAGTTCGGTGATAAAAGAGAAAGAGAAGATAAAAGTAATGTTAAGATATCTGTGCTGTAAGAGTATCAAAGCTACAACAGAAAGGAACATGCACAAGGTGAGCTTTCCATCATAAATCAATCTGATACAATAAATCAATTTATACAGAATGTTTACTTCTAGCTAGAACTTTGGCACCACAAAAATTGACAAACGATGGCACGCTAACACCCAATAAACATCAATTTTGGGGGTCAAATAAATTAAGATAAATAAAAGCAAGACTTCTTGAATTTGCTATTATTTTCACCAACGAATATTGCTATCCTTGACAGTAATTTACATACTTTTGGCATCAATTTTTGACGGAGGAAGTGTTCCAAAAATTTTATCCCATAGTGATGAAGTAATCCCAAAGCCTTTATCCTGGATCCGAAAGTGATGATTCAAGTGGTATTTCTGCGGAAAAAATGAAAAAAAAAAAAATTATTTTGTTTGGCAACAAATATCAAAGCAATCATCATAATGCAATCGCGAACCATAGTTGAAGTATTTTAACCTTGAGATTTTGGGGCACTTCAGTCTTCGGCTGACCATGGTGCAAGTAATAATGGGTGCAATCATACATTACATAACCCAATAAACCGCCACCAAATAAAGCAGGAGCTATTGAAGGGGTTGCCATGAGCTTCACCATGTTCCAGAACTGAACGCAGCATACAAAAACAAACATCACTTCAGGAAACCTTCAACCTATGTTTATCAATATACATCTGTGTTGCAGACTAATCAAACAATTTTATTAATCGTCAAAAGTCTTCTGACCATTTTCAAAGGTAACTACAGATTTTGGTATACATATGTCGTGAATTCAGAAAGCAAATCCAGAAGCAATAATTTCTTCTTAAGATTTTCTGAAATTACTATCACAAAATAAGGGTATAAACATCACTGAACGATTAAAACATCTATGTCCAATCAACATCTCTTGCATTTCCCTCTCGTACCTGGAACTGTTTCACTTATTCCAATGTTTGTCCCATTGGTGACTTTCCGTCAAAACTATTACATTTGATATGTTATATCGCGTAAAAATAGAGATATACCGTCGTCTAAAACTAATTCATCAATAGTATTTGACCAGTTGATAAAAGAAAAATTCGATGTGACACACTTAACTATTTAAAAGAAGATTTAGATAGCATAGGAAACAAGAAAAAAAAAAGTACTCTTTTGGTCTTTCCAATAATAGGAAGCACGCATGGTAAAAAAGTAAAACCTTGGTGAAAATTTAAATCCCACAATTCCCTTCCAACCAAATAAGCGTGGGAAAATGTTTAAAATAGTATGTCAGAGAAGAGATACCGGCATCAATAATATAGCAGTTGCAGCAGGGGGAAAAACGAGTCTCAAGCCATCCATTGGGTGCTTATGGTGGCAGCCATGGAGTAGATAATGCAAGGTATTTCCCCTACAGCAGCATTCAATATCCCCAAAATAAAAAGAAAATAAACATTTAGTGTTATTCTAAAAAAAATGGATATAGTTGAACACAGTTACAAGCATAAATAAAAATATTATTTCACACTATGAAAAGGAAAGGAAAGGAAAGGAAAGGGAAAGAAACAGATCTAACCAGTAGGTCTTTGTTTTAATGTGAAAAAGAAATCTGTGCAACGAGTACTCAAGCAATGTCCAAACAAAAATGCCAACAACCACCATTAGAGCCACATGAGGACAACTGAGGCCCATAAGTACAGAGCTATACACAAAGTAGCATACAACTGGCAGCCAAATGACTGGTATTGCCCACCAGACTGTGCGCGTCAAGAACTGTTTCAAGTATTAACTCAAGATTACATGAAAATTATCAATATATTTCCTGAACATAAATTTTAAATCTTTATCCGTAAAAGAATTGAACATGAGATTATAATCACAATTTTCATAATTATCGAAATAAGTAGCAGATCATCTAATAAAATTATAATATGAATTATATGTATTATGAGAAATACTTTTATTTATTCTTATGATATATCTTTCTATTAGAGAATATTAAATCATTGTATTTATTATATTGATTCCGTTTTTTCAATATAAATTAAGCATTCATGTTGTCTCACATGCACACAGTTTTAGGTCAGTGTCCCTTCCTTTCCTATAATTTAACAAAGTATCAAGAACTGGGTTCATTATCGCGTTGGTTTGGTAGAGCCGTCTCTCGAGGATATTTTGTATTTTACAAACCTTTCTCTCAGGTTTCACGTGCAGTGTTCTAGCGATGCCTTCAGCGAGTTTTCCAACAAGTTTTAGGCGGAAATCATTTGCTCCAATCGACACGGGGTTGGGATCGCGTCATGCCAATTTATCCAATGGGCAAACACCAACGCAAACCACCCATCCATGAGCATCTTCTCTACTGTTCTAACTGACGCCTGATGCACGTGCGTCAACACCTAATGGCCTTATGCCCCTCCATGTACTCCATCAAAGTTTGTTTGGAGGTCTGATCTACTTTTCTCCCTCCTAGGATTATTTTATTATCTTTTCCCATACTTCAACGAAAACAAAAAATGTCTTCCGGCGCCCCATAAACATCCAGAACAAACTCTCCTATTTTTCCTAACCTTAATATTAGTATTACATTGAGAAGATGAACACGTATAACTATTGAACTTGGACTTCCAAAATCAGGTTATGGTTAAGTGGGTTGGATTACGAATCTCATCCCACTACAATGTTGAATCCGTTCCTACACAACATGTTAAGGGCCCTATGTCTGCTCATCTCAAGCTGCTTCACGTTGCTTACATGATTTCTAATGAACTTCTTGTACCATTTGTAAATGCAAAGGAACCTGAGAACCATCATACGTTTTTATGACCTCGAACTTGTACGGTTTGCCACAAGTGTATGTTGCAATCCTAAAATTAGGATCACCAATAAACCCTACTACGAATTCCACATCATCTATGTTCATTCGTATAATTTGGCAAATAAACCCGGAGACACATACTTCAACTGCGGGAGAAAATATTGCCTTTGTATCATAAAAGCGAGTACTCTAGGCACTTCCACACAGGTAATTCTAAAAATCGTCCAAAATGTGAACATTGGCAATGCATTGTACATATCATCGATAGGTGTTTGGAAGTTGTATAAGAAATCCTCTCATTACCCAATATTGCCCATTCATTTACTCTTGAGTCACTTGTTGCTTCAACACCGTTAGCTAATCTACCTCATGTATCTAAGATCGACAAAATTGCAGAAAATGGTGTTGGGTTTAAAGCATTTGACTAGTTTAAAGTATGAATCATGTCAGTTAGAAAAACATATTCATCAGTTTTTTTTCCTAATAGCCTTAGTAGTCAAGTTTTATCTCTCTTTTTAGTTCACCATGATATTTGGGATCCCTCCCGTACTCTTAGTTATTCTGGTTTTAAATATTTTATTACCTTTATTAATAATTAATCTATAGGTCCTAAAATTTAGTTAATGAATAATCCATCAGAAGAATGTCTATAATTCAAAAAAATTTAATAAAACGTCGTATATCTTTTGTAGTGACAATGTCCGAGATTATCTATCTCAACAATTTCGGCCGTTCATGGCATCTCATAGTATTATTTATCAAACATTGTGTCCTCATACTCTTCAACAAAATGGAGTAGTTGAACACAAAAACAGACATCTTATTGAAACTACATAAACACTTCTTCATAGTCATCTTCCTCACTGTTTATGGTGAGATGTTGTCATTAGTACATACTATCTCATTAACCAAATGTCATCATCTTTCCTTAATGATCAAGTATCTCACTCTATTATTTTCCTCGTTCACATCTATATAGTCTTCCTCCACTTGTTTTTGGTACCACATGTTTTATACATAACCTCACATCTAGTCAAGACAAACTTCCTAAGTGGTTGTTCAAATGTGCCTTCATGGGACATCATCGTTCTCAAAAAAAGGGTATCGATGTTTCTATCCTTATCTTGATCGATATTTTGTGTCTATTGGCATCTCTTTCTTTGAGTCTGTTATACATTATACACATATAATGATGACATATGTAGTTACTTTATTACACTACCAATCTTCCTTCATCACTACCAGATGACTTTGTCATAACTTGAGATGCTTATCTGGTACCTCTTCAGGTATATGGCACCTATCTTCGATGGATAATGATATAGAGGTCACGTTTGATCCTATCTCAACACTATCTAACATATTGGATCTGGTCTCCTCTAAAAATGAATGGGCAACTGCTGTCTGAAAA